CTGGACACCCACATTCACTGTCACACCAGAGCACACAGCAAAATCCAGTCTCAGATAAATACCGTTAGGTCTTAAAAAAGGGACCGTTAGCTATGTGTAAAGCAAATGAAACCAAATAAAGTATACATGAGAAAAAGGTGTCCTACTATCTTTTTAAGTTTTTTTAATGTCTTTATTTTATTTTTTTGAGAGAGACAGTGTGAGTAGAGGAGGGGCAGAGAGAGAAAGAGAGGAAGACACAGAATCCGAAGCAGGCTCCAGGCTCTGAGATGTCAGCACAGAGCCCGACATGGGGCTTGAACCCACGGACTGTGAGATCATGACCTGAGCCGAAGTCAGATGCTTAACTGACTGAGCTACCCAGGTGCACCAAAAGTGTCATCTATTACGGGAAGAGACTGGCATGGAATAAAGCACTGTGGAAACATGAAGGAAAAGCGACATAAGATAACACTGCAGTAAACACTCTCGGAACACGGCGAAATGAGAAAGCAAAGGTATAAAATAGGGAGGGGGGCGCTAACAGATAAAATGTGCTTAAATCAATGATAATCATAAAAACAGTAAAAAGGGATGTCATCAATATATCAATATAAATCCATATTAAACATTTCAAGAAGAGAAAAAGTACAAAGACATATAGACACAGGTATAAAAGCTTTCGGCGAGGCAGGGGCTGTCAGGTGTACTGTTTTAGTTCAAAGTAAGTGAGAAAAAAGAAACTATTAAGTAAAATTAAGCAACACAGAAAATCCACATGTGGGTGGAGATGAATGGAAAGGATTTAGAGGAATGTCACCCAATAAATACGCTAAGTCTATACTAGATGTTTTCACTTAGTCCAAGACCAAATCACAACCGAGGGTTTCGCTATTTTAAATGTGCACATCCTCGACCTACATGCTACTTTGGTATCAAATACTTTCCCGCTCACCTTTCAAAACCTCCGACCAATTATAAAATCGGGGTTAATGATTCAGAACAAAGCATGGAAAACCTAGAAACCCAAGCCACTTACTATGCTGTGTAGACGTACCTTACAATCATTGTTTCCTGAATAAGTATGGACGCACTCTTGGGGGCACACACTTTCCAGGTGTGAAGTTATGACTTCACTTTCCAGGTCCCAAGTGGAAAAGGCCCCTGAAATACAGACATGCATGTGCCCAGAGCTGTCACCTATCTGTGCCCAGAGATGACCAGCTCGGGCAGGCCCTGTCTGGGGAAAGGCCATGCAGAAAAGAACAGAGGAGGTCAGGAGACAGGAGAGAGGCGACATTATACAAATATCCGTATTCCCAATTTAAATCATAATTTAGCTTCTTCAACCTTACACAGCCACTGAGGAAATGTTACAAGTGCCCAAAGGCCATTTGATAGCATCAGGGGGGAATGCCTGACTCCTGGAACTTATTCAGAAAAACAAACTGTAATTGCAACAATAAAATTCCTTAGGCCTGCTTTCCACATCACATCAAACAATACCTAACTTTTACAGTCATAAGTGAATTGCCAGCCAGAAGTATGGTTCACAAGTAATATCTTTGGAGTGAAATGGGAAACATTTGATGTAACAAATCATTAGACATGCTATCATTTTAAAGAACGGAAACATGTCACCCAAAAGCCTAGAAACTTTTTGTATTTTCGTGGGTTTTTTTTAGTTTTTTAATGTTTATTTTATTTATTTTGAAAGAGAGAGAGAAGTGAGCAGGGGAGAGGAAGAGAAAGAAGGAGGGGGAGATAACCTCAGCAGGCTCCATGCTGTCAGTGCAGAGCCAGACACGGGGCCTGAACTCACAAACCATGAGATCATGACCGGAGTGGAAACCAAGAGTCTGACGCGTAACCGACTGAGCCACCCAGGCACCCCATAAAAACCTGTTTTTTGTTTTTTGTTTTTTTAAAAAGGCTAGAAACCTAACATTCTTTTTTATTATGGTATACACTCATTAATATTTATTAACATCTGTATGCTTGTATGGAAGACAAAGTCACTGCCATGGTCTATGGTCACTGTCAAGACAGCAGCTCCTATACTTCATATTTTGTTGAGGTGGGGGGAACAGGACAGGGGAAGCTCAAACTACCTACTTCCATTAATTTAAAAAAATTATTTTTTTATTCTAATAACTTGATGGAATCCATACAAACTGATGCAGAGAAACGAGCGTCAGCTATGTTTTCATGAAGCTCGGATCCTGACGGAATTGATTAGCGAACTTCAACTGGATTTTATGCAAGCATGGTGCTTGAATGCGGCCATTGAGCGAATGCCCCAGCTGTTTTGACATTTCATGTCACTGGGGACTATTCTATTCTACAGAACTCCGTGTTTCCTCCATAGAAAAAAATTAACCAGTACCCTGCCAACCCCCAGCTCGCTGTCCCACTCACAGAGGGTCCAGAGGGAAGATTCACCCTGCTTTCCGGGACCACCCGCAAGTAGCAGGGATCTCATAAACACTCAAAAAAAAAAAAAATTTAAAGTACACAGATAAACACAAAGTTAATCTTAAATGGACTTCAGTATATTTAAAAACTTCACTGAAAGGAAATTTGTCTTCTTTGTAATTCCAGGACATTCTGTGCATTTTGACACCTCAGCTGAGCTCTAAAATGCCTTTAAAGTCACATCAAGTTGCCTTGTCTCCTTCCTAAAGGAATACTTTTCCCATTTAACTTAGCCACAAGTCCCTGTTTTCATGAAATTACTAGAAAAAACATACAATTTCAACCCAACTAAAAATGTACACTTGGGTGCTCAATAAAGATAATTAGTAACTACCTATTAATAATTTAGTGGGATATACAATCTACAGCCACGGACAGGTTATCCCTTCAATTCCCTTCAATAAGGGCTTCTTGTTTTATAATATGAAATCTTTTCATGCCGTCGGTCCCGGGCCAGCCCATTTCTATGTACCGCAGGAAGGAGAGTGAGTCAGTCAACAAGTTCATCACATCGCTCATTTGGATCATGTGGGAAAACGAGCGCTTGCTCCAAGTTTGATCTGATAGCCAGAAAAGTCACATCCATATCCACCCTCTCCGGGAGGCAGGCAAAGCATCGAAATTACATAAAATACTCAAAACGCCCCAGACCACTTCTTTCCTCCGACTTTAACACACAACAGCCTTATTGATCGTGTAATTCCTATTTGGGAAATCCAAGCATATGGATATTTTCCTGAATTCTCTTCACTGAAGGGATTGAAAGTGAATGGCGGTCGATAAAATAATTGGAAATAAAAGAAGCTAAGAGCAATGGGTCTACAACTCTCGGACAAAGACATTCAAGCAAGCAGATCGGAGGGAAAGAACTCAGTGGATGGGTAGTGACCACAGCCTGTGCTGGCATCCCATCCACAGCAAAAGCTCTTGGTCCCCCGGGGTGGGGTGGGGGGGAATCAAATGTGAAGTCCAACTGGACCTCAGAGAAACAACGCTATGGATTCGCCTCTTGTCGATACAGCACCAGGAAGGGTGTGCCCAGGTCAGGACTCCCCATTTCCCTTCCATAATCACATTCCCTTCCAGGGCTTCACAAATAGTCTCTGAACTCAGTTTTGCTGACCTGTTACCATTAGCTTTTCCCTTCAGACTTCCCCGTATTACGCTAGGGAGAAAATGATTTGGTCTCCTTAAAAAGGCTTCTTAAACAGGTTCCCAAAGCGACAGGTTTAAAGGTAATTCTGAACCATGTCATGTGGGAGGCTCGTTACCCTAAAAAGGGATTTCCCACTTTATTTTCTTTTGGGGAAATGTGTTTGTTCGAATGGAATTACATAACCACCACGAAGTCCACTGCAAAAAAAAAAGTTCTTTTTAACATTCCTCAGCTTAGGGATTATTTGATTTGCTAACCTGGCTCACTTTTTCCTGGCATTAAAGAGAGTTTTTAAGAAAACAAAAAACAAAAAGAGCAAGTTTGAAAACTTTTGCAGACTTGAGCCACACAGCGGCCCCGGGCACTCGGGCAGGGTGAGTCAGTGGGACACAAGTGCAGAGAAAAGAGATTAGTTGTCCCCACAGCGGAAAGTGGGCCCATTCGTAAGCAGGTGCAGGACCCACCCAGCCACTCATTCCATTCGCAAGACTCACGGCACAGTCGCCCCAGGCCAGCGAGCGGGCGCGCGGGTCGCAGGGCGCCTCCGCAGCGCCCGCAAGGGCTGCGCGTGACCCCGCGGCCTGGTCAGGGAGTGCGCGGTTCAGACTCGGGCTCAGGGTCCTGCTAACGGGCGGGCTAGCTCGGCAGGCACGGGGGGCAGGTACCCTGCAAGTATAGCCGGAATGTGGCGAGTGATCCCCCGACGCGAGGGGTGCGGGGATGGGCGCGGACACACGGACAGGTCTGGGCTGCGGCAGATCCGCGCAGGCAGGATGCACACCCCGACTTCAGCTGCGAAGTTGGGGTCTCCTCCTCGGGTCCGTGCCCTGCACGCCGTCCCGGGGAGCCGCGGAGAAGCAAGTCGAGGAGGGGGCGCAGACGTCAGGAAAGCGCGAGCACAGCGCCCCGCACGACCGCGCTCCCCGAGAGCGGACCAGGCGTCTGCGAGGTCCCCGAACGTCCCCTTCCTTCGTCGCGGGGAGGAGCGGACGGTGGCGGCCGACGGGACAGGGCGAGCGGCGACCCCGGGAACGCGGGGCAGACGCCGAGCAAGGGGGTGGCGGGGCTGGAGGCCGAGGCCGGGTCTCCCAGCGCCCTCGCGGGATCGGGGGCGAATCACTCGGGAGGCGGCTGAGGGCTCTGCCCGCGGGGACCCCCAAAAGGGGCGCGCGCACACAAGCCCACCCGCGCCGAGCCCGCTCCGGCCTCGGCCTGACACTGTTACCTGGGCAACGACCCGGGCGCACAAAGTACACAAGCCCCTTCCGCCGCGGGGCGAGGGCCCGCGGGCCGCAGCGGGGGCGCCCCCTGCCCCGAGCGCCGCCCACCCCTCACCGCCGCCCGCGCCTCCGGCCCCGAGTGCGCGCCGCCCGGCCGCCGGGCCACTTACCCGGTGGGGGGCTTGGCCGCCGAGGCGCGCGGCGCGTCCATGGAGCCGGCGGGGCGGGGGGCGCGCGCGCGGGGCTCGGGCCCGGCCGAGTCAGGCGCTCGCAGCCGCCGCCGCCGCCCTCATTCACTTTTTCCGCGCTGACCCATCGTCCTCTCCCACGCGGGCCGGCGGAGGACGGCGGCCGGGCGAGCGGACGGAAGGGGCTGGGACGGTCGCGCGCGGGCGGGGGCGCGGGCCGCGCGGGGAGGGGCCGGCGCGGGGCGGGGGCGCCGGGAGCAAGGTGCGCCGCGCCCACCGGAGCGCCGCCCCCGCCCCCGCCCGCGCGCGTCCCGGGCCCCGGGGGGTCACCTCCGCCCCGCCCGCCGCGGCGCCCCTCCCGGGCCTGTCGCGCGCTCCTCCACCCCGCGACCCGGCGCGCCCCAGTTTGGGCGGCGGGGCGAGGCGGGAGGTGGGGGGGGGGGGATCCGGAGGCGCGGGCCGCGTCCAGGCAGGGAGGAGGAGGAGTTGCGGGAGGGGGCCCTCGAGGGCGACGCGGGCGGACCAGCCGGGGCAGGACTGAGGTTGGAGACTGAGAAGCGGGTGACCGGTGTCGCTGCCTCTGCCCAGGAACCCAGAGAACCTTCATTCCTGCAGGGCCTTATGGGGCGGCGGGCCTCAACGTGGGTCCCTGGCCAGCAGCACCTGGGAGCGGGTTAGAAATGCAGATTCGGGGCCCCCGCTCTGTCCTAGGAAATCAGAAACAACCGAGGGGGGACGGTCCAAGGAGTTGGGTTGGAAGTATGCTCAAATTTGCCGAGCTGCTTTTGGGGCGCTGAGGCTGGGCGGCCGCGTAGCAGTAGTGCCCGGCAGAGGCAGCCCCATCTGGGCCCAGGGCAGGTCGGCTCCAACTTCACCCCCTCCTCCTCCCAACCTGCCCAAAGCAACAAACGACATTTGGACTGGTGTGCAAGACTGACCTCCAGAAATGACACTTTCATGTGGTTCCAGCCAACCACCTTTCCCAGGAGGGATCCAGTGAGGTGCAGAACGATGCGCAGTGGAGGTGGGGCGATACCCTAGCTTGTACTGGGGGGCGACACCCCACGCCTGCCTGCGTCTGTCTCCGTCTGGGCCTCAGCTTCCTCCTTAGCAAAGGCAGGAGACCAGGCTAAACACAGAACGCAACGTCTTTGCCATGACCCCGAAGGCCTTGCCTGCTGGGGGGGGGGGGGGTCCCACCCAGAGCCCGGGTCCTTGTGTGCACCTGCGCTGGAGCTCAGCGTCCGTTTGTTCAGCAGATGCCTGGACACTTTCCCGCCTCCGGCCTCTGCCTTGAAGACTCTGCACAGAGGCTACCAGCTGCGCCGCGCTGTCTGTTCCCTGTCCCGCTGCACCCTGCTCTCTGTTCCCCGCACCCTGTGTTCCCCTGGGCCCTCTATATGAAAGCCCAAACCCAAGCCCTGTGTCCCCTGCTTTATTTTCCTTCGGAGCATTTATCATTTTGTGTATATATATACACACACACATATATACACATATATTATTATATGTAACATTTTATATACTTATTTGCTGTTTGCATACATCTAAAGATGTTTATGTTTGTTTACATTTATAAATAAGATGTTGCTCATGAGCATTTATTACCTTTATTAAATATACAAATAAATACAGGTGTATACATTATATATCAATGGAATATACATAGATATGTACATGCCGTATTCAGCATACTGTGTGCCTTTCTGTCTCCTCCCCAAAATGTGATCTCAATGAGTGTTTGGCCTTGAGCCTTTTTTGTGGGTCACTGAGTCACTGAGGCCCCCCCCCCCAAGCCTCTGGAATACCGCCTGGTGGGTGGAGTCGGTGCTCTGGAAATAGAGACTGCGGTGAGGCGCACCGCGTGGCTCCGTCAGTGAAGTGTGTGACTCTGGATTTTGGCTCAGGTCATGATCTCACGGTTGGTGAGTTTGGCTGCGCATCAGGCTCTGCGCCAGCAGTGTGGAGCCCGCTTGGGACACTCTCTCCCTTTCTCTCTCTCTCTCTCTCCCCCCCGCCCCTTGCTTGTGCTCTCTCTCTCAAAATAAATAAATAAATAATTTTTTTTAATATTTTATTTATTTCTAGGAGACAGAGAGAGAGACAGCGTGAGCAGGGGAGGGCCAGATAGAGAGAGGGAGTCACAGACTGAAACAGGCTCCAGGCTCTGAGCTGGCAGTCAGCACAGAGCCCGACGCGGGGCTCGAACCCATGAACCGCGAGATCATGACCTAAGCGAAAGTCGGACGCTCAACCGACTAAGCCACCCAGGCGCCCCAATAAATAAATTTTTAAAACAACAATGCACTGAATGAAACAAACCCTACAACACCTTCCTCTTCCAGGCTTTCGGTCAGAGGATCCTTCCCTGGATCAGCCCCGGCCCCGCCCGCCCCGCCAGCCCCGCCCACCCCGCCAGCTCCGCCCACCCCCGCCAGCCCCGCCCACCCCCGCCAGCCCCGCCCACCCCGCCAGCCCCGCCCACCCCGCCAGCCCCGCCCACCCCCGCCGCCAGCCCCCACCTCACCCCACCCCCGCTCCGCTCCCCCTCTCCCCCCGCTATAGACACCAGGTGGGAAAGGGCAACCCGGGCAGGGCCAGAGCCCAGACGGGACCAGGCCTACCGCCGACGGAGGCCCCCGGAGGAAGTTCAGTTCACGGATCATGGCGCCCGGGCGGCGGCAGCAGGAGGCATCCGGGGCAGGGGCCCCTGACACCAGAAGCAGGACCCCTGAAGAGTTTCTCAGCAGGACAGCTACTGTCTGTGGAAAATGACGAGGAGGAGGCCGGGTCCCAGGAGGCTCAAGGTGCTCTCCTGAGACGAAGGCCTGGAAGGACCTCTGACCTCAACCAGCGATCCCAGGAGGCCACGCGGCATCTCAGGCCTCACCCCCCCCCCCGGCAGGCGCCACCGCCAGGAATGGGGTGGGAGGTGAGCGCCGGGAAGAGAAGTCACAATGGGGCAGAGGGTGGCGTCAGACTCGCGCCCAGAAGGCCGCTGAGCTCCCTCCAGCGGGAGGCTGGGCCCGGGGCCCCAGGGTGGGGCACGGAGCAGCGCCAGGGAGGCAGGCGGACCTGGGACCCGGGGTCTCTGTATGTCCCTCGCTGGTGAGCGTCCCCGTAGACCCACCAGGACGGAGGTGTTTTCACGATGGCGCCCGTCACATACTTTGGAGCACCTGTCACACGCCGGCCTTGCTGTGTGGCGTGGACGCTGGTAGCCGCCTTGCAGATGGGGCCCGAGAAGGGGAACGGAGGGGACGAGCAGGGGCTTCGCCCTTCCAGAGGGTGAGAGACAGGAACGGCTGTAGGCTGAGGCTGGGGGCGGTCCCCAAGACGGCCTGACTGTGCTATAGGCTTTGGGTAGGACACTCTCCTCTGTTGGCTTTCCTACCAACATTTTATTTTATTTATTTATTTTGTTTTAAACTTTATTTTTAAGAGAGAGAGAGAGAGACAGAGCATGAGTAGGGGAGGAGCAGAGAAAGAGACACACACAGATTTGAAGCAGGCTTCAGGCTCCGAGCTGTCAACACAGAGCCCGACAGTGAGGCTCTAACTCACAAACCGTGAGATCATGACCTGAGCCGAAGGCAGACATTCAACCTACTGAGCCACCCAGGTGCCCCTGGCAAATGTTTTTAAATGACAAAAAAAAAAAAAAAAAAAAAGAGAGAGAGAAAAGCCCTGATTTGGAGTATTTGCCTATGTTTTGTGCTATAAATGCCCCCACGTCTGCCGATTCCCGGCTGCCATCACAAACACCAGGTTAGAGAGAGGCCACCTGGCTCCAGCACACTGCTGGGGTGGCACGGGTCTTGCCCACCCAGGCATTCACTGCCCCAAAGCTGCACCTTCGCCCCTTTCGTCCCCAGAGCCTGGCTGAGCTTACTGTGTCCCGGGGCACCAGGCTAGGTCCCTGGCCAGCCCCGGCTGTGCCCCTGGGCTACCATGCTGTCCGCGCTTGGCCCAAAATAAGGAGTTGTCACTGGTGCTGAGGACCAGAGTGAGTCCCTTGCAGAGACTCTCCTCCCTTGCTCTGCCCCACGCTCCTTCTTTACTGCTACATCTCCTGCCAGACCTCACCCTTCCTCTCTGCGGACCCACCTGAGAGCAACAGCCTGGGGTGGGGGTGGGGCTGCTCCAGTCCCCTTGTGCACTCAGCCCCCCCTTGCAGCTTGGGTGGGGTACCTGGGTCACCCTGAGATCCACACTAGCCTCCCTCATGGGAAGGCAATGAAAGGAGGAATTCACGTCCAAGCTGCTGGAGACAGCCGAGCCTACCTGAATATGCATATGATGCTTCTGTAGGCTTCTCAAAACACAGATCCTGGCACAGTGGGTCGAGGCTAGGATCGGACAGTCCACATTTCCAACCAGCACCCAGCCACGTGGAGGCTGCTGACCTGACCACCGAGGGACCCTGCCCGGTCCCCCACTCACCAGCAGAATGACCGATGGCAGAGCACTTCCTCAAACTTTCGTGTCCTCTGTAAAAGGAACAGTCAGGGCAGAGCGAGGTTTTGCTGGGTTTGATTATCCAATTTACCTTCAAAAAAGAAAAAAAAGTATACTGTATGATCAATACGAACTTGAATTGCACAGTGGATATTTATTTCAAATGTACCATGGACCGAATTGAGTCCCCTGCAAAATTCAAAGGTTGAAGCCCCACCCCTTCAGGGGGACTGTATTTGGAAATAGGCCCTTCGCGAGGTTATTAAGGTACCATGAGGTCATAAGGAGGCCCGAACTTGATGGGACTGGTGTCTTTATGAGAACAGCAAGAGACACCAGAGCTCACTCCCTCCCCATTATACTCTTGAATTTGCCTCGGGTGAGAATTTATTATCTTTTTTTTTTTTTTTAGAAGGGTGAATGATTTAAACAGGATGAATTTTATAGGAGACCATTAACTGACGGTAGTGACTCAAGGAAATGTTTATGTAGAGTCTTTTATTTTTACTGAGATATAATTCAAATACCGTAAAATTCACTTCTTTCGAGTATACAGTTCAATGGTATTATAATTCCATGGTTATATGCGGGCTTGTATTACCATCACCACTGTTTGATTTCAGAACATTTTTTATCACCCTCCCTCCCCAA